GCAGATAGCCCTCGTGTAGCTTTGCGCGAAATTCAAAACAAAAACTTCTGATAGAAATTCTCTAATGTCTGTCCGCTTTGAAATAGACATACACTGGAAACTTCTTGAATATTTTCTGGATGTTGTAACTTATTCTGGGAATAAACGGAATGGAGATTTTAGCTTTATGTTCTTCTTCTGTTTTTTTTTTTTTACCACAGAGTAAATCAAACAGAATATTATTTTACTAACTGATCCGTTTAATAACAATGACCTTCAAAGAACTTCTGGACTTTTGATTTGTGAGCCTTTGTTTACTTGAAATTCTTAGTTCAGTTTATTAACTATAGCCTTCATTTTGTGGATGAAACATTTACTCTAGATTCGCTTAAGGTGTGGTTTCGGTCCGCATTGCTGTTTCAAACTTTCTTCTGTGAAGGTTCTTCTGCTTTCATGAAGAACATTGAAAACTTCCGTATTCGAAATATTGTATTTAATATTTCCATTCAGAAGAATATTCACCCATCTTTCCACCCACAGGTCTATCTTGAAGATATTTTATAAGTCCTGTCAGTATGGTTTGTCTTTCTAGAAGGGGACAACTCTCCTGATATTCGTAGGATATGAATATTTTGCACGCATTTTCATAATCTGTAGATGATTCTTTATAGCAGTATAAGTGTTAGAAACTGTTTTCTCCAAACATGAACTAAACGAATATCTGTTTATAGAGACCACTGTATAAAAAAAAATATAAAATCTCTAAAAAATAATACTTCACGAAAAACAAACAAACTAAATTAAAACATTTTAAGGTTACCTCGAGTTACGCCCCATCCAGTAACATAGCAGAAACTCCCCACAGTTAATTCATAATCTTTTTGTGGAAGACAAGCTGGGCGAACATAGTCCGTAAATTTCAAAGGTGCGTTTAATTTGATAAGAGCAAAGTCATGCATTATATCAAAATCTGACATGGCAGTAATCTGAGAAAAAGTAAAATATGTAATATTAAAATTTATAAAATATTCCAAATATAAATAACACCGCTCTGGATCATTTATACAAAGTAACTTAATTATTATTATCCTAATGACGCAATCATCGAGTAAACTACACAGAGTAATACATATACTTTGTATACATATGCTCTTACTTAAAAAAATAGTTTATTTGTGTGTTTAGCAAGCAAGTTGGTGGAGGTAAATTAAAGTATTTGATTGTTTTTATTCTAAAAAATATTCAGAGTTTTGACTATTCTGAAAAATTTTAAATTTTTAAAGTGTTGCTCAGATTAGTTCAGTTCTTAGCATCATTATAGCAAGATTCTTACGTAAACGACACTCTATTCCTACGTTCTGGAAGACAAGATAAACGTTTTCAGGAAAGACCACAAATTAAGTGTATCATTATGTGGAAACCAAAAACAAATTAGGACAGATCTTAACAAATTCTTTCGATTTCGATATTAGCAGAAATCAGTGTTGCTGTTAATGAAAAGTTGAACATTCTGTGTGATAATGCATATACTACGAACATCCAACTAACGTAAAACAAATGAACTCGAATTTTCCATATATATGATCAAATATGCTCAGTTCAAGAAACAACGAATACATGAAACAAATTCTACTCACCTTCTTATTCACTTCCCTGGGGTAGATAATATATGTATCAATGTACCTGACTTGTTCAGTTGGATCTGTGAGGTACGCATTATGTTTACCCAGGTGCAGACGGAGTCGATGTTTCTCAAGACCACTGAAAGATAACAATCCTGAGGAACGCGGGTGATAACTGTTTTTTTTTCAACTAATCCTATGTAGTTTTTAGAAATTTCCTACTTATGCAACTATTTATAATACAATGTTAATCTGCTTTACAATTTACACATAAGGCTACACAAAGGGTTATCTGTGCATAGTCGTCCCTAATTTTGATCTGACATTGACAGACAAGATGATAGGAATCTAGTCTTTACCCATAGGCAGTTCTTGGACTACTCTTGTCAGACCAAATAGTGATATTTTACAGTCACATTTTAAGCGCAAGCAGGACCCCAAAGCGCGAAGCGCGTTTCTTGCGACAGTCGAATGATAATAATGGCTCTACAAATTCAGAGTCCGGTGGCCCGACATGGCCAGGTGGTTAAGGCACTCGACTCGCAATCGGTTCGAATCCCCGTCACACCAAACATGCTCGCCCTTTCAGTCGTGGGGGCGTTATAATGTGACGGTCAATCCCACTATTCGTTGGTAAAAGAGTAGCCCAAGAGTAGGCGGTGGGTGGTGATGACTAGCTGCCTTCCCTCTAGTCTTACACTGCTAAATTAGGGACGGCTAGCGCAGATAGCCCTCGTGTAGCTTTGCGCGAAAAACAAACAGAGACCGGTAACGCTAACTATCATGAAACGGTTTTACTATTTGTAGGCCTATTTTGCTTTTGTTAGAATCAATTCCATGGTATGTAAAAACTCAAGTTTATATAAAACATGTGAACAGAACGTTCTTTGCTGTGATTGGTGGAAAGCGTTCTTTCTTTGTTCTCTGTTATTTACGTGTCCTCTCTTTTATCTTCAGCCACTTTTACATCAACCTTCGATCAGAATTTAGTTTGATTTTAGTTTTCAATGACAGGAGTTCGTTTCTAGCCAATTTCGTGTTTGTATTTTCATGTCCAAGAACATAGAGAAAGAGAGAACAGAATAAACCCAGTCCAATTCATGTCATTGTCGTGTAACTATTTTGTAATTTCGGGTTTATGTGATCTTGCATATATTGTTGTTTTTTGTGAAGTTAACGGGTCTCTTCATTCCAATCTCTCACAATATACGTTATTGTTTTTTTCTGCTTACCACCAGCTACTCATCAGTCACTTAATCCTGCAATCCTCTAGCTATTTCGACGATGACATACCTATTGACATATACATCGGAAGCTTTAAGCTTTTATATTTAGAGTGTTATGTGAAAGCATTTATGTACTGGATTCAAGAAATATCGTGCAAGTTCAAGTGCTTCACTTCTAATAACCAACCAAATTTAATTTATCAAAAGTAGGCGAATCATTTATCAAAATAACAATTTATGTTTAAATGCATAACGTAACATTATAAAAGTTTGCTTTTAGCCAATGATAAAACGACATGCACGGTTATTTTCATGTTACAAAGATTTTAACCAACTTTTATTCTAACATATAATTTTACCTTTATGAGAAAAAAGGATTCAGTTTCACCAACACTCATGTTAATTAAACGGAGCTTTACTTTCATAATAACATTTTCACTGACTTTTATGTTAAGATTTGATCGTAATATTAAGAAAACGTGCACCATCTTTTTCGTCAATAGACTTTTCTTGAAACTAAATGTTTTTTTATAAATTACAGGAGTGTATAAGGCAAATTAAAAGCAGGGGAGCAATGTTTATTTCACCGAATAAAGCGAGGGAATGTGCACCACCGGTGCACCCACTACGACTGGGGTCCAGGACTCGCCTTAGGGCCTGGAAGCTCTTGGGTTCTGTATTAAATTTTATACATTCTCCTGTTTTCTTGAGAGTAATTTTCCTAATTTTGATGCATTTTTACTGGGACAGATTGAAAAGTGGGGGTTTTACCCCCCGGAGCTACGCTCTGAACTATCATGCTAACTAACAGTTTTATTTTTACGGGAAAAAACAAACAAGGTAATTTTCTAGGTCATACTTTTCAACAGACATTTTTATAGTTTATCAACAAATAAACAAGTACAACAGTTTTGTATTAAAATACAGTTTTCTCTGAATTAAACGAAGATTGACTCTCAGAAGTTTCATTTTTTACTTCTATTCTGATAGAGACTAACTTTCTTATCAAGATTTAGGACGAACTACTCACTCTAGGAAACAATGTGCAGCGGTTAAAACCCAGTTAGCGTTTAATATTGTTGCCCCACAAACATGTCCATTGGGAGAATAAAATCCACGTTGTAGCTCTGCTTGCCAAGGCCAGCTGCCTTGTCGAACTTCCTGACCACCGATAATTCTGTCAGCTCCCTCTATCGGAGGAAAAACGGGTTGGCCACAAGGAGGTGCAGGAGTAAGTGGCAAATCTGTTGATAATCGATATGTTTAACATAAATCTAATTTCTCAGTATGGAAAATGCTAAATGAGAAATTTGATGTAGATTTAAAATTAAAAAAATATATTTATGTCTTAATATTGAGTTAAGCAGTATTTTCTGTCTTTCTCAAAAAGTAACATAAGATGGTGGTTTAAGAAGATTTATGAAGTTTTAGAACTGTGTGAACTGACCCAGACAAGTCAGAACCGTACGGATTGTCTATTGATCTACAGAGTGGTACTTATTACCTATTTAATCTAGAGATCTTCTATTCTACAACATAAAAACTGAATAGTAGGTGGGCGACTGTTGGTCACCTAAAGGACGCTGCCTCGGGTGGGTCACCAGGTGAATGGATATCAAAAGATGTTGCTGAGGGTCACATGACTGTTAGGTAATATGCCAATTATGCTGCCGCCTTGGGGTTATATAACTATTATGTAATAGGCACGAGAGACGATGACGTCCAGGATATGGTACCAGAAGGCGCATTGGTATGATAATCGCGCAGATAGTTCGAGAGTGAACAACCAGAGGGTGATGTAGATCAACATGACATAAACTTTATAGTAACAATCAAAGTCTTAAAATTAATAATTTAATCTAATTTGCATAACATTGTGTTTACAGTTATTAGAATTGAAAGGTTTTTATTACAATTACAGTTTTGCCTTATAAGTAACACAATAAATGTGGTATTTTAATCTTTAGTTCTTGTCAACTTTACAGCTTTTGCTTACATATTTAATTGCATATGTTTTACAAAGACAGATGATCTTTCTATAGGTGTACACTGTTACCAAGGTTCTATAGGCGGACGGTGTTACTAAAGATAGTGTTTGTATAGTCAGATGATGTTACTAGGCGGATGGTGTTACTAAGGTTCTATAGGCAGATGATCTTATTAAGGATAGTGTTTCTATAGGCTGGTATGGATACTATACTTCCGTAGGATGTCTCAAGTTTATAGTTTTCTTTTATACATCTAACTGTATTATATATGTGTTTTAGAAAGGCAGATGGCGTTTCTATAAATGGATAATTCAGTAGTATGATGAGCTCAATGTAAGGTGTTTCAACAAGTGATCATGTCATCAACATTATTGTTTAGATTTAATTAAATGTCCCAAAAAGTTACAAACAAAATCATTATTTTAATGAGACAACTATTATAACACTGTTACATATGTTAGTTTCATCATGCATACTCTCTTAATTTTTCTATTATTTGAATGAGGCAAATATTACAGTATAGTCAATAATTTATTTTATATACTTTTACAATTATTTGTCTTGAAAGGATTTTATAATACATAATGTATCATTTTACAAATATTGAATAAAACAGTTAGTACAACCTATTTTGATTTTAAGTATCGATTTAGTATGCAATTGTTGTACTGATTATAGTTTATTTCTATATTTAATTTGTATGACATAGTTTTGCATTTCCTGACGTTTTATGTTTAAAACACTTATTGCTAATTCACTTGTTTAATAGTATATTGTATAACATCTACTTGCTCTGAAAAGGATGCTTATTTAAATCTCTAAATAATATACAATAATTCCATGTTTAGCTTTATAAGTTCATTTTATAAGGTCTACCTAAATAGTTATGTTTAACTATTACTATTCTTACCTTTCTGTACATATTTTTACAAATATTTGTCTAGAGCTTGTTTATTGCTGGTTTGGAACTTTATGTATATAGGCTCGATAATAAACATTCTTACCATTTTGAAAAACGAATGTTTAAAACAGATAGGTCACTCTTTCAATCCTGTTGTTGACAGATTCCAGTTGACATGTTCGCCTAAGACTACAACCCAAATAAATGAACTTTTTGGAATGAAGACTGCTGAAAGGCTCGATAAACTTTAACTTTATGAAACACAAAGGGCAAGAAATGTCGCCACATGGACAAGAAACCAAGTTCTCTCTCAAAACTGGCAGAATAAAAAGCCAACAGCATTTAAAGGTCTGGAATTTAAAAAGTTGGTAATATACAGACATACGTTTTTTTTGGGTAAAATATATTATTTCTAGTTTGTAATGATATGTCACTAGGCCCGGCATGGCCAGGTGGTTAGGGCGCTCGACTCGTAATCTGAGGGTCACGGGTTCGAATCCCCAAGTCCAGGATGAGAAAGGAGGAGGGTTGGGCGCGGGGCTAGCACCCAAGTGGAAAAAGTATAAACTCTAACTGAAATAGTAATATATTTATTAACAAAACTTCAAGATACATTAATGTACTATAAACATCTTAGCTTGTAAAATACTGAATTAGCATTCATACAAATTTTGTACATTATGTTCGTTTCAGTATGCTTGTCAAGTCCGTGATTTTACATTGTTGTTGTTGTAATATGTGTTTTGCATGTAAAATGTTAGGAAATGCAAAAATTATGTCATGCAAATTGAATGTAGAAGCAAACTATAATCAGTAAGTTAAATGCATACTAAATCGATATTTAAAAACAAAATAGGTTGTACTAACTGTCTTGTTCAATAATTATAAAAACGATACATTACGTATGATACAATCCTTTCACGACAAATAATTGCAAAAGTATGTAAAGTATATTATTAACTCTGCTATAACTAACTTGTCATTATGGGTGTCGTAGTGAGATGAATAACTAATGAAAAGACAAACAGAAGTCCTTAAACTTTGCTATAGTGCCCTACAATAGTTATATTGTATAAAGTTAAATACTTTTGTTAAGGAAAACTAGGTATTGATATTTTCCTATGGCATAAATATTCATTTCTTATGCAAATAAAAAATAAACTAATTTGGTCTTATTCTGCTTTATGGCTAACTGTACTTGATCCTCAAGAACAACTTTATATAAGCTATTATTTTAGGTTTATAAGGTTTGTTACCTCTAGTATTCTAAAGTTACAACTAATTCCGAGACGATTCGTTTGGCACCATTTAGAAGTTGGTGAGTCTAGAAGTTTGGGAGAAGGGGTTTTCTGGAAATATCTAGGTTCCCCAAGGGGTAGTGTGAAAAATTTATCTTTCTGCAAACCTTGGGACCGAGACGATTCGTTTGGTACCACTTAGAAGTCGGTGTGACCAGCGGTTTAGGAGGAGTTACGTGACACACACACTAAATTTTATTATATACATACTACAATTCTCTTTGATTTTTTTTTTTTAGTTTGTGTATGTGTGATTTTTTTTCTTACCACATCCTTCTTCGTCTGTTCCGTCACCGCAATCGTCTGTTCCGTCACAAAGAACTTCGTCTAACACGCATTTCCGGTTCTTACACTGAAATTCTTCTGGATAACATAGAGCTATTAATAATAACAATAATAACATTGAACTTTAAAAGCTGACCTATGAACATTATCGTATCTAGTCGATAATTAGATCAATTATATATGAAATAATGGATTCAGGTAATATGACTAGAAAGTTGAGACAACTGATGTGTGCATAGTTTATTTATAGTTACACCAAATGAAGTACGCTGTAATGTTAGATAAAATATTATCAGTGGCTGACTCCAGAAAAATCTTCCTCCCATATCTAGGCCCGGCATAGCCAGGTGGTTAGCGTACTCGACTCGCAATCTGCGGGTCGCGGGTTCGAATCCCCGTCACACCAAACATGCTCGCTCTTTCAGCCGTGGGGGCGTTATAATGTGACGTTCAATCACACTATTCGTTGGTAAAAGAGTAGCCCAAGAGTAGGCGGTGGGTGGTGATGACTAGCTGCCTTCCCTCTAGTCTTACACTGCTAAATTAGGACGGCTAGCGCAGATAGCCCTCGTGTAGCTTTGCGCGAAATTCAAAACAAACAAACAAATCTCCAATATCTACAAGAACTATTACAGAAATAAGCAATGTTGCCTGGAGGCCGTTTTAAACTAGTGTATTCCTTGAAAAAGTGTCACATCCTCCAGTAAGCTGTCACATCTAATGTTCGTTCTCTGACGGTGATCTTGTGAGGGTAATGAGGTCAGTTATGTTTAAAAATATTATTCAAATTCTGAAATTAGTTAGCTGCTAATAATTTAAATTATTTTGACTGACTAATTTCATATGATGGTTATAAACGGGATTATGAGAAGTTATCGAGCTTTATTGCTTTTTCATTATGTTTTAGACTTATAAAGATGTTTCATGAAAATAATATTGCAATCAAATAAAAAATAAAGTTAGTTAAAATTGTACTATTTCAAAGATGGTATACTGACAACATTTTACGTATTCCTGTTTATATTTTTGACAGTTTTATTCATTTATGACTGTAATACCTATGAGAAATAAAGGAGGGTGAATATTTGAAATATTTATTTTTAATCGATTTACTTAGTTGAAAATGGCTGTAATACAGCGCAACATTTTTTGTTCGCTTTCAAGGAACTTCTAGGTGGATAAGGCGCTCGACTCGCAATCTGAGGGTCGCGGGTTCGAATCCCCGTCCCACCAAACATGCTCGCCCTTTCAGCCGTGGGGGCGTTATAATGTGACGGTCAATCCCACTATTCGTTGGTAAAATAGTAGCCCAAGAGTTGGTGATGACTAGCCGCCTTCCCTCTAGTCTTACACTGCTAAATTAGGGACGGCTAGTGCAGATAGCCCTTGTGTAGCTTTGCGCGAAATTCAAAAATAAACAAATCAAGGAACTTCTGTAATCTTTCATTTTAAACTTTTATATTTTATAGACTAAAGTCATAGCTCTGAACAACTAGTTGTTTACTATTGAAAAAAACAATGAGATTAATTAATTTTAACCGTAAAAAACTTTTATTCAAACTAAGATCGACAACATACTAGCCTTCTTGGTATGCGATAGCTTCTGATCCAAGTTGAGTTTAAATTTTTGGCGCCCTCTAATTAGTTATTTGTTTGAACTAATGTTAGAAAAAAGTTATGGGCATAGTCTTCAGTGTCTCCATATAATCTTTTGTGGCAATCTTTATGAAGTGCGATATTTATTGTAGGCCAAGTAGGCCAGTTAAAGATTACATAGGCTAGAACATAATTATATAGGAAACACAACAATAAAAACATGAGAAAATAATTGTGTGTCAAATCACATGGAAAATGAAAAATAAAAATGATAGCTTAAAAGTCAAAAGGTCAAATATATAGGTTACAATTGTTATTTGGACGCAAATGATATGGTTCATAGATGTTATAAAAGTACGATAAGTGAAGACCACAACTATTAGTTGGATGCAGAGGATGTGGGTCACAGTTTTTGTTTTGGTTGGATACTGACGATGTTGGTCAGAGTTTTTATTTAGATAAAAACGTTTGAGTCACACCTTTTATATAGATGCAGAAGATATAGGTATGGGTCATAGTTGTTATATGAGTGCAGACAGGTCTTGAGTTGTGTAAAGTTATTAATTGGAGGTCAGTTTCACATCCCATATGAGGCGGGGGGGGGGGGTCGCCAGAGTATCTTATTTCGATTCGATTATTTAATTATGTTACAATGTATGTTGACACAGAAAAGTAACTCAAATGTGGAAGAATGACATGCTGTAAAGTAGGCCTGCATAAACGATATGAATTGATAAGATTGTGATAACTTGTCTTTAAATTTACGTATGTCCTTGGATATTCTACAAAAGAAACGTTTTCATAAAAAGTTTTAACAACAGGAGCGTTTTCACAACAATTTCTTGCAACAGGAACGGTGCTCTGGTTCGCTTTTTGTTTATTTCTTTGAAGTTAAGCACAAAGCTACACAGTGGGCTATCTGTGCTCTGCCCACAACAGGTATCGAAACCCGGCTTCTAGCGTTGTAAGTCCGTAGACATACCATTGTGCCACTGGGGGGGGGGGGTCTCTGGTTCGCTCTCCCTCAACTCGAGCCCTCGATGTGCAGAAGGCATGGGTGACAGTCTAGGATAATAAAAGTATGGTTCATGATTAACATCTGGATGCAGAAGGCATGGATGACAGTCTAGATAATAAAATTATGGTTCATGATTAACATCTGGATGCAGAAGGTGTGGGTGACAGTCTAGATAATAAAAGTATGGTTCATAATTAACACCTGGATGTAGAAGGTGTGGGTGACAGTCTAGATAATAAAAGTATGGTTCATAATTAACACCTGGATGTAGAAGGTGTGGGTGACAGTCTAGATAATAAAAGTATGGTTCATAATTAACACCTGGACGTAGAAGGTGTGGGTGACAGTCTAGATAATAAAAGTATGGTTCATGATTAACACCTGGATGTAGAAGGTGTAGGTGACAGTCTAGATAATAAAAGTATGGTTCATGATTAACATCTAGATGTAGAAGGTGTGGGTTACAATTCTTTTATGCAGATAATTATAGGTCACGACTGTTATGTCGGTACATTAAAAACGGGAAGTTCTTCAAAGCTGGGTCATCTAACGAGATCTATCTTTGGTTAAAATATCACATTTAATGACATTTGTGAAGGTAAATATTTATTTCATCATAAGATTCATCTTAGCTACAAGACTAATTATCAAATGTAAAAAAAAAAAAATGTGTTTGTGTAAACGATCATCGTATTCTATCCAATGGAATGATTTCAATCAAACTTTTTGTCGTTCAAGTGTCTTTAGGAGTACGATATGCTGAGAAAAATTCAGAAATTTAGGATATTATGTTCAAACATCAATATTCTTTTATTTCCCATACTCACACATGTCGGTTGTAAGCCAAGTAAGATTGAAACCACTCGCTGTTATTAGAGGGTCGCTGACAAAGCGAATGACAAAGATTTCCTTCAGCGACATAATATCTCTCGGGAGGACATTACCACAAAAGACTGCTTCTCGATATTGAGTCTCATTAATCTTGTTGTAAACAGCAAGGTAATCGTACCTACAACTGGAGCTAGTCTCGATATCAAGGAAATGGAAGTTTAATCGCACTCTCTACAACAGGAGACAGAAATCAAAATCTGAAATGTTATTGAAGGAATTTGCGTCTCAGGAATAATACACAAGTCATTGAAATAATTAAACAATATTAGTTCTACAATGATAAGATTCCATTGTTAGTCTTAGCTGGAACATTATAGATTTTTTCAAAGTCAAAACTGAAATAAAACAAAATTGGAACTCGCGTTTATGATCAGCTTCTCAGAACAGCTGAATTTTTAACTGATTTTTATTGTTTTTAGAAAGAGGACTCTTATGTTCCTAAATAGGAAATATTTATTCAATGCACGTATCGATATTCTATTTTCTATATATGCTATAGAAACATAAAACAGTTATACATTAATGAGTAAAACTGCATAAAACACAAGTTTTTACACAATGTACAAAAGGCCTATGGTAACAACTGGGTGTACAAACAGTTCGCAATTCTAAAAATTTAAGTAATCTTTCATGAAAAGTTTCATGCTCGGCTATGTTTTTATACAACAAAAACTAACCTGGCCAGGAGGCGCTTGTATTTCATATGTGCATTGTATGGTTTCGGGATAGTTTTTACGATCAGAAAACCCTGGACTTTGAATGATACCTGTAGAGCCCTGCAAAATCTTAGGCTGATTAGGACCACAAGCTTCATCGTCCCCTGAAATTATACACTCTCAGTGAGAATTTAGAAAATACCAGGCAAAAAGGAAGATGGAATTATTTTCCCTATAACACTTAATTTTAACAATTTGGTTTTAAAACATATATTTATATGTAATGAAACGTAAAGTAAGTTGTATGTCGAAGCAAGATGTTAGTAATATTGATAAAAAAACTAATGAAAAATTGATTGTCTAGGCTAAGTTTATGGAAAGCTCGTAAGTTTTAAGTATGACTATGTCTCTCATGCAGATTAATTGATGGTAAAATTCAAGATAAAGATACGGAGTTAAATAAAGATGGAAAACTGAGGATAAATTTCACTTTTGGTAATGGCTTTCATACGAATCTAATTTGATAAACGCTCAAGATGAATATTACATTTCAGTATGATACCTGTACAGATTTAAATCATGCTAACATCGTAGAATATGTTTGATGTTTGGCAAAACCTACTATCTGGTTTGACAGATTATAAAATTTCAGCTGTATATTTTATCTATGGCCATACTCAGTTTAGTTTCTTTATTTAAGAAAAAATGAATTCAAATGTGTGTATATGGCAATAGACTAACCAGATTTTAGAATTCAAACCCCTGAAATTATTCTATAAATTAAGTATTATCAAGCTCAGTTCTATCTAGTTACAGCATGTTTTCTATAAATACACTTTACTGATTTTTTCTGTAGTTTGTTCAAAATAAGCGATATCATTATGTGATAAAAGTAGTGCACATAAAAAATGAAATGCCTTTTATTTCATAAAAAAATATGAAAAAAAGATGTCGCGAAATTTTGAGGGTATAAATATTTACAGTGTAACAACAATCATGTAATAAAGACGGAGGTTAACAATAGAATAAAACGTAAAATGGTAAAACGTTAAAATATACAGATAATTAAGTATAGTATAAGATCAGACTCAACTCACCTAAGGTTTGGGGAATCACAACCAGCAGGAAAGATAGAAGAGAAAGAATTGAAACCATGATTCAACGTAGGAATTATGGTGAAAGCTGGAACTATATATCCTTTTAGTTGTTTCGTTCTAGGCAGAACCTAATTTAACCGAAACACCTGTTCTCTTCTCATATTCAGATGTTAGTTCTCAGGGTTTCTTTACATCATGTACTTAGAAAAGTAGATAACAGTTTCCACTCATTCTCTTGGCAAATACGTTCCTAGGCTTTGCACCTGGGTCTTCATATACTAAGATTGTCTCGAGATAGAATAGCTCGTTAAAGATTTTTTGAACTGGAAAAATTATCATGCACTATTTAGTTTAAAATTTATCATTTATTTCTGTTTGTTTAATATAAAAAACTCTTGCTAATGTGAAGTTTAATAATATTTTTTAATGCATTTCCAGTCTGATCTGACTTGGGTAAACAACTGTATATGACAACTTGTAGGATGATTAATTGGATATCATGTTAATGAAAGACTTAATGCCACTTATATAATTTTATTTTATATGTTTGGTTGGTTGGTTGTTGTTAAGTGCAAAGCTACAAAATGGGATATCTGTGCTGTGCCCACCAAGGTATCGAAACCCGGTTTTTAGGGCCGAAAGCTTAGGGACTTACCGTTGAGCCACTGGGTAGCTTTATTTCATACATCAAGGTTCTTATGAGAAAATTGAAAAAAATGTTTGAATTTTGTATAAGACGTTACTTTTCCCCATAGCTCAAGGGGTGGCAAATTGCTGTATTTGTATTTTTTTTTTTCACTCCTCATAGAGTGTCATATATTTGGATGCAACGTATACCTCCGTCTCTTGTGTTTGTAATTTGTTATTTAGATAATTAGTGGATGCTTTACGACAATATCATAATAATTAATACACAGAACGTAAGTGCATATACGGAATAATTTACGGGGCTAAGGTCAAGAAAATAAGAGTTTTTGGATTGATAACCTTAGTATAGAGTTGAAGTAATACCCTAAAATTACTACTTTTATATCCTAAACAGAGTAATAACTTGCGAGGTAGAAGAAAAAACAAAGTTTAAGAAGTATATTTACTGTTTATTTTCATCTTTTCCAGTTATCATATTTACATTTTTTAGAAATCTACATGTAGGACTGTCTTTCTGTTTATTATTCTTGTATTTGTGTTATTTATCGTGAGGTTAGTAAGGTTGTCTGCCGCTGTCTCTAATCTTGAGCTATTGATAAAAAAAAAAAAGGCAACGAGTTATTAACACCATACCACGTACAATATATATACTAAGGAATTGACTGCCGCTTTTATAACACACCCACAGCTTAAAGTGGAAAGAATATTTTGGGGTATCAAATGGATTCAAGCCCGGCTCCCAAACTTCGAAATCCACAGCTTTACTACAGAGCTAACCAGCACCCATTAACCTTGTAAAAACAAGGATTTTTGTAACCGCATATTGTAAAAAAAATTAAAAAGAGCAACAATTATAGTTTTTTAAAATTTATAATATATTCCGTAAATGATTGAAAAGTGTAGAGTAATCGATGCAAAAAAACAACAAAGTATAAACATAACTTATCTGATGGGATATATTCCAGTATATTTTTTCTCTAAACTATTCTGAGCTCACATGTTGATCAAAGAATTAATTATATCCCAGCATATTTTTTCTCTAAACTATTCTGAGCTCACATGTTGATCAAAGAATTAATTATATCCCAGCATATTTTTTCCCTAAACTATTCTGAGCTCACATGTTGATCAAAGAATTCATTATATCCCAGCATATTTTTTCATTAAATTATTCTAAGCCCTTATAACCTGGGTTTTTCTAATTCTTTAGTTCAGGTATATTATAAGTTTAAGGGTACGCCATTTTATCAGCCGATCCCGATAATTTATAGTGTATTTAAGCTCTGCCACACCCACTCACATACAAACAAAATATAGCGCAATTTTACTGATTTTTTCTGAGATTCTTTTTTAAGTATTTTGGGACATAACTTTTTAGTTTTGCTCTTTATATGATAAAACTATTGTCAGTTTTAATGTATTGATTATCATTGCCAAGCGATTTATTAATATACGTTCCGGAGATACGAGATAAATGTTATTTCTCAAAAACATTATGTAGAAAAAGACATAGTAAACTGCTAGATATTTTTCATATATATATAATGGGCCATAGCGAATCCTTCAATAAACTAAGTGTGAATGCCAATTGTTAATACATGTGTTATGCAATGATAACGGTGACGCACACTTTGAAATATTAAAGAGATTCAGTGATTATACAAGTTCAACTTAATCACGAAAAAATGTAAACTGTGATAATAGTAGTTTCTTCTTTCTTTATTTGAGAGTACACCACCATGTACATGAGTAAAAATCATCATACTTCCCTTTTTGTCTGTGTAATATATTACTTCATTTGACGTCCTATCATTCACACAGGGAAAAGGAAAGTGTGAACGACTCAGAGTGAACGAAATTGTTCTAACTTTTATAGTTTGTAAATTAATCAAACTTTCGTATTTGGATTTCTACAACAGCTGTCTTTCATAGTTTGTATATTAGTCAAACCTTCATGTTTAGATTTCTACAACAGCTGTCTTTTATAGTTTGTATATTGGTCAAACTTTCGTGTTTAGATTTCTACAACAGCTGTCTTTTATAGTTTGTATATTAGTTAAACTTTCGTGTTTAGATTTCTACAACAGCTGTCTTTTATAGTTTGTATATTAGTCAAACTTTCATGTTTAGATTTCTACAACAGCTGTCTTTTATAGTTTGTATATTTGTCAAACTTTCGTGTTTAGATTTCTACAACAGCTGTCTTCTTTTACATAAATAATGATTTTCAGAGATAGTTTAATAAGATATCAGGAAATAATTTTTGAAAAGCTTGATATTTAGCACATAGAGCTAAAAAGTTTAAAAAGTCAGCTACTTATATTTTTGAGTTTCGATTAAGGAAACTTTTTTTTTTTTAATCCAGCTAGAGTCTACCTATTCATTCCATAATCAGCTTTAGATAAACGAGCTAACCCTAAAACTATGCGAAATTCTTTATTTATAGTTTTGATAAAGTAAAGTTTAAAATTCAGAAAAAGCTTTACCAGTGTTTCATCTTTATTGAAATAGTCCTACGGCTGAGGGGGACCCTGTGGACCATTTTATGCCCGTAGAATTAATGTTTATATGTCATAAGTACATCATATGAGGTTCATAAAAATCCAGAGTAGATATTTTGGAACCCGGCAATAAGGCAAAAATTCAAGATGGTTGCCAAGATGGTCGCTGAGAGGGGCAAATAAGCATAACTCATGTTCTAGAGAAGATAGCACAATGATTTTGTTGTCTATGTGTAGATTTTGGGGGTCAAAGAAACTACTGAAATATTAACAATATTTGTTTCAGGTTGGTGAATATTGTAATGCGGGCCGATGCATTTATGTTGCCATGCGCAGACTGATTGGAAGAAGTCTGATGGTTAAACACAACATACATGGTGTGCACAGATACTGGGAAGTAGAACTAAAGGATAGAATTAAATCTAAAACATTTTCCAGCTTCCTAGAGGGATTGAATGCATTTTGATCCATGCCATCGGCCTGAGGCCCGGCATGGCAAAGTGATTAGGGCACTCGACTCGCAATCTGAGGGTCGCGGGTTCGAATCCCCGTCCCACCAAACATGCTCGCCCTTTCAGCCGTGGGGGCGTTATAATATGACGGTCAATCCCACTATTCGTTGGTAAAAGAGTAGCCCAAGAGTTGGCGGTGGGTGGTGATGACTAGCTGCCTTCCCTCTAGTCTTACACTGCTAAATTAGGGACGGCTAGCGCAGATAGCCCTCGTGTAGCTTTACACTAAATTCAAAACAAACAAACAAAAGTTCTGAAACATTTAAACTTTAAATTTAAAATATAAAAAAAACCTACACGCGATTCTCACATCACACGCACACAGACATACATCATGCAATAATATTACTGCATTAGTAGACATGCGCAAAAAATGTAACAAAATCTGTACCACACTTGTCAACTTTCACAAATGTTACGAGAGACTCACTTTGAACACAGATCACGCTCTCACGCCTGGGTACTAACATCTTACGATTATTAATGGCTAAAGACGGCTTGAATGGGTAATGAAGAAAAACTTTAATATAAGTTTAACATAACAGCAAATGTACAACGTGTCGACAAGGTTTTGTCATCATCAGGTACCCCTGATGAATTAATCTTACGATTATCAGTGTTTAATTTATTTTTCTTTTTTCAATATCATATTAAATAGGTAATTCTCTTCGCAAAACTGTTAGAACGGTCCTAATTCATTACTTCAAGTGTGCGCAATGGGTAGCGAGAATAGGATCAGTCTAAAGCAGATAGTTACTGCGCGTGTGTATCGCGTCGAGTGATTGGTTCTTTGTTCGCCTGATAACCAATAATGAAAACGGTTCGGGATCTGACGGTCCATCAACATCAAAACAACCAAACCTGACAAAATATCAAGGTGCTTCAAAGTAGAATATTAAGTTCAATCCAGAATGGACAAAGAAGTGTCCATCGTGGCTGAATCGTCTAGTAAGAATTATTTTCGATGCACCAAGGGCTGCGTGATGTTGAAAAATATTAACTCAAACTCTCACAAAGAAGGTCAAGTCGTCATTGAGATTAATACTGAAAGCATTTACGAGCAAGAATACCATCAGCGATAAGATAAATATAACTTTCAAATGTGAAAAATGTAGTCGTCATTACTTAGGTCTAGTTGTATTCTAAGACGGCCTACTGCTTGATCAGGAACGATAAGGTTGACACTGTCCACGTTTTTGTTTTAGTGCATTTTGACAGAGTTTCGACATTTCAAGAATTGTCATGTTATCTTGATATATGACTTGAAAATAATTGATAAATGAATAGATTCTAGATATTATATCAGATTCAAAGAAGTCCAACAATAAGACATACACAGTTGAATAAATATATTTCAATAAAATTAAAACTAAGAACTAGCGTGAAGAAACTGTTGTTTCATGAATGAACTGTATGGAAAGATATATACTGGATATATTTATTAGGTAATTTCAACATTCAAGGTGAAGGGAGATTTCTAAATAATTCCTA